AGCTAATATTTCTTTTTTCTGCTCTTTACCATTTAATTTCACCTGCTGTGTGCCTCTCAGGACAGCCATCGCACACTCACTGCGAGCAAACACTTACTCTCTGGAAACTTTAGGCCTTCATGCCTCGAAAAAGAAAAAGACAGTTAATTGTCAAGCCACACAACCAAGAAACTAGAATGAAACAATTCATTGAAAGAAACTCAGGCAGCTCCCCTTGTTTTTATATCAAGGAGCTATTCAACTGAAAAATCATCAAAGCAGAGTTTATTAAACTAACTAACTAACTATTAAAATATCAAATTCATTTTCTCACATCTAATACAAAATTGATGGCTCTCAATCCCTTCTCTAACTTAAATCCTTCATAGATAATACCTCACATTGCTGCCTATGTACTTCTGTGTTTCAATAAATGTGCAAACTTTATCAGATGTCATCATGTTTCTAGTTTTGTTCCTTCTCCTCGACCAAAAAGTGTTTTCAGCCTGTTATTCTGAACTAAATTTCCTTTATTATCATAATACTTTAGTAGGCTGTTTCAACTACACTTTTCTTTTCTGTATCCAGCAGTCATTGCCGTTCTTTTACTAATCTGCTCACTGTCAAGCTTATTGCTTCAATGTGGCTCAGGAGCTAGAGTGGGTTGGCCCTGGTTGCGTGTCGAAGTGTCCTTGGGCAAGATACTGAACCCCAGGATACTGAAATGTTAGTTTCCGTTTGAGCACTTAGGCTCAGTGTGTGACTGGTGAATGCAGATGTAGTGTAAAAGCGCTTTGAGTGGTTGTAAAAGACTAGAAAGGCGCTATACAAGTATGGAGCACTAGTCCACATTAACTATTTCTTCAATAGTATTCATATACAATAATTCATATATCTATTACTTTATAACTCCTTCCATCAACTTCTTATACTTTTTTATATCACTATATCAACTCTATTCATCTGTTATCCTTAAGCTTTATGTTAGTTTAATATTAGATCAGTTATTCAACTATCATTATTTTATACTTTTTGTCTAATGGTCTTAAACATGAGGCTTCAAGACTCAAAATCTTAGTATTATTATTTTATGCCTTGGTAACATTTATGTGCACTTTTTGTTAACACACAGCTATCGACTATATTTTCTGCAATATTTACATGCACGTACGTCTCTGACTCCTATCTCCTGCCGGCCCCTGACTTAATTTACATTACCTAGGTTTTCAAATGGACTTGTCTGATGCACTTCCTCAACACAGACTTAATTTACACTACCTACGTTTATTTTCAAATTAACTGGTCTGATGCACTTCCTCAACACAGACTTAATTTACACTACCTACGTTTATTTTCAAATTAACTGGTCTGATGCACTTCCTCAACACAGACTTAATCTACACTGCCTAGGCTTACTTCCAAATTGGCTGGTCTGATGCACTTCCTCAACACAAATCCAGTCTACTTATTATCAACAACAGTGTTGTCACATGTGTTATTTTTCTTTTACAGTACTGCTGCTTTTTGACATTCCTCTGATACACTGAATTACTTTGACCCTTACCAGTTTTTGGTATACTGTTGTTCGAATAATTTGAATACTGAAAACCTATTGTCTCCTATATGAGAGGTGGAAAATGCCTTGGGGAGGATGTCCTTGTCCTGAGATGCACGGGCAAGTGTTTCCTAAATATTTTAAACTAAATTTTATTTAGTTACAACTCTGGACTTTGCTTAAAGGAGGATTCCCTCCCGCATGCAGAAGGAGAAATATGCCCTGGGAATCACTTAACTTTTTCACTTGCTAAAAGATCCTTTCTCTCCAAAAGGTATGAAGAGTCAAGTATACAGAGAGCAGTAAAAAAATCTGCTCGCTGTTCTTCCCTCTGTGATAGTTCAGATTCCTATATTTCCCATATTTGTTGAAAAAGGATTTTTACATAATTGTTTTGGATATTCTGTTGTTTTGATTGATTTGTGAAGTGATCCACTCTTTGGTAAGTTATTTTCATGTTCTGACCATAAAGAATAGTTTAAACCAAAATTAACTGTCTGGTTTCTTCAGCTTTCACTAAGGAGCAAAAATCAGCATTTAAACTCAATAGAAGTAATGATTTGACATTTATTCTGATAATTCATAATGATAATAATAATAATATAACTGATAACATTAATATCTAGCAAGTATTGCTGGATCATAAGCCAGTACAAGCACAGCCAGAGATGCACAGCCAGCAGCAGTCTTAACAGACTTTTTGAGAATTTTGGGCTAGATCTAGAGGTTTCCATTCAGGCTTATAACAGAGGCAGACTGGAGACTGACAGATGAGTCTCCAAGAGTTTGTGAGTTATGGGCAATACTGCTGAACTTGGATTCAGGAATGTTTCATTTATCAAGCTGTTCATGTGGCTTCTCAGTCCTTGATAACCCATTTAAGAATTGATCACAGTTTTTATCCTAGCACCAGGTTTAAGTTGTTTTTCTTCATAAATTCATTGTAAGCATCAGTTTTTAACATAATCGGGTTTCAAAAAACATTTTAAGAGAATTTCAAGCTAATTTTTTTAAAGTCTCCAAGATATTACAGAATTTGGTGATTTAGTGCCATGCTGAGCCCTGAGGCTAGCTGTTTTGAGAACAATGTATCAGGTCTTAAAGAAAATACAAAAGATTTTTGTGCATCAATTATTGCTAAACTCCAAAGAAGTGGTATAGCAAATAGTTTAGTTTCAGCAATTTCTAGAGAATTTTGAAAACCCATCTGTTAGCTTTAATACTGAAACTAATTGAATGAAATATTTCAATGTAAAATGGGGGCTTGTGCAGCCTGTAGAAATAATATTAGGAGTTCGATTTGATATGAGGCGAAATAAATGAACACGTACTTATGATCAAGTCCCAGTCAAAGACACTTTCGTTTACATTCCCATTTTGTAAACAATAAAATTTTGTAAACTACTTGGGGAACCTTGTGTATAAAAACTTTTAAGGTGCTTATGGTGGAGATGAGAGCCTACATATTGTACCCTTATTTTCTCTGTAAGTGTGCATAATTGTGCCCAATCTGACTGGTACTAGGAAGTTTTTTTCTGTTTGTGAAAGGGAATAACACAATTTAGTGTTTAAAAACTAGACTTTCAAGTGTCATAAAACAGCACTGTGAGTGTCAGACATTAAGACAAATAGTGAAAGGTAATAACAGAGTGTAATGTAAAAATAGACTTTCATGTGTCAAAAAACAGCACCGTGTCAGATATTTAACATTATAAAGAGTTGAAATGTTAACACTGTCCAAAGTGTAACTTTAACACTGAACTGGTGAGAATTATATAAACACTGGGATGGTGTTCATTTTAACACTATGTGTGTGGTTTAAGATCTTGCCACTTCTGTGCCCGTTTTGGATCCAAAGGTTTGGAAGTATTATCAGTGAAATATATGCATAATTTTAAAAACAGGATATACATGGATTTCTTATTTTCTATAAGCCATCAAGTCGGCAGAAGCAAATGTCAGTAAGTTGCTAATCACTTGATCCAAGTCATATACCCTGCAGCTCTTCCAGAAGGTAAGTAGTTCAACATCCAATGATGGTGAATAAGAGAGCTACAGTAGTTCAAAGTCAGTGTGTATAGAGGTTCTTTGCCAGGACACCACAGGATGTCAGAAAAGGAAGTGAATCTTCTGAGGTGTGTATGATTTACTGTAAAAGATTATCTATTTGGTTAATAGCTGATGAACAACTTCTGTCAGTTATTTCGGCCATTTGAATGCTGCCCTCCTGCCTTTCTGTTCCTCTTAGTATGTCATACTGTATATTCTGGTAAATGCTTGTTCCTGTCTTAGTGCTTATCTAAAGTCATTCACATAAAATGATCAAGTTTATAAAACAGTAACAGAAACAACATTATATTAAATTGATAGATTCAAAAGAGAAAATGTTACAATAGTTTGGAATTGAATTGAGTAAAATGTACAAACACAATTATGCAGCAAGTCTTTAGTCTAGACCAGGAGATGGATAAAGACACTGTTTTTGTGGATGTAAGATTGTGGGGTTGTTTTGTATGGTAATGTTATCAATAGAATATTTAAATTAATCCCTAATTTAGGGAATTCAGTGGACAGATGCCGAGCTAGGAGTAGTCGGCTCTGTATATATTGTGTTGGGCTCGTGATGTTTTTCATGGTTTGGGAAGCCCCCATAATTCCAGTTAAATAACATTTTGTCCACTAACACCTGAAGAAAATATCTGGCTTTTCAGCTGCTAAATGCTCCACTGTGTTCACCAGCTAGCCAGGTCTTTTTTCACTGAAGACAGTTGCCTGCTGCTACAGGAAACCAGACTGATGAGAACATACACATGGAACCAAAACTGTAAAGTTGCAACCAAAACAATGAGCTGAAAGCCCTTATCCTCTCTATGGTTTTATGCAACCACTCTCACATCACGGTATCTGACACATTGTTTATTTAACATATGTATGTGAATGTGAAGACCTTTCATTTGTATGGCAAGGTAAAATGTGGTATCTGTGAGGCTGTACTACATCAATTACGTATCTTGTTTTTGTGAGCATGTTGGCATTTAGCTCAAAGCACCACTGTGGCCAAGAACAGTTGCATTTTATTTGAAAAATTGGATAACTATGAATCTTCACTGACATCAATAATGATGCTAAAAACAGTACCCACCAACCACAGCCTGGTGAAGCCCGCCACAGAGCAATTCTCCAGGCTGCGAGACTTAAATTCATCCTCAGCACTGCACCATGGAAAATTGTTTATTTCTGTATATACTTTTATTAATTTTGTATACATCATTTGCTTTGTAGCATAAAGGGAATTACAAACTGCATCTCATTATACAACCCTATTGTAATATGACAATAAATGTATCTAGCTGTTTATTTCCTTTTTTTTCCTAACCTCATTAAACTTGATCTTGACACATTTTGGTGTATTGTCATGATTTGTATCATTTCTGATACATAACACTGATTCTATCACAAAAGAAGATCAGATGTAGTCACTGGAGACCAGCTTTAATATATTCCATTGTTCAGAGCAGAAGCTTACAAATTATCAACTCATCCTGTACAAAATACAGAACAGATTAACCCCCCCACCCAAGAAAAAAACAACAAAACACCAATACACCAGCGGCAGTTTACACAGTGTCTAAAGTCTATACATAAATATTACTGAAGTACATATTACACTGTATATTAAATACAATCTCCAACACTGCATATTCAGTACATGCATGAGGTCATCGTTGGATGATGCTTTATTAGGTTCCACTCTGCTGGTGAAGCCCATTACATTCAGACACATTCAGTGAGTGAACATTGCAATCCTGCCTGAGGAAACACACACACACACGAGCCACATCCTGTTCACTAACACCATGTGGTGCACGCAGGAAAGAAACAAATCTGTTGCAATATCACAAGTTGCTGTACACTTGAATAAAACCATTATCTCCAGTTTTGTACTCTAGCTCATTGTTCTGTTAGGAGTCAAAATAAGAATGAACAAACTCCGTAGCTCTCATTATATCTCACTCATGTCTGAGCAAAACAGGGTGTCATGTGACATTTGTGTGTATTTGTTACAGCAAAACAAAGCCAAAGCTGCCCCAACATAAAGTCATTTATGTAATAACAAAGCATTGTTTATTTATATTTTGGGGAGTACACTTTTCAAAGGATCACTTCACCCAAATTACAGAAATAAATATTTTCTCATTACCTCCTGTGGTATCTCTTCATGCAGGTATTGTGATTAATTGTCCGGGTTTGATGACATTTTTTAGTGTGTGTTTGTGTGACTGTGGCAAAAGTCGGTGTCTGTGCCGCTGTGCACATGACATGAACCGTGTGTCTACTAAATACTAAAGTATGCTATAGTGAACACTCACAACAACAACAGCTAACATGCTATTTTTTGGCCAAAGTTTCTTTGATCTTCATGAGATATGGTGGGATTATTGCTCTTATTACGTATTAAGTCCATATTTCTGCTTTTTTTAATGAAATATTGTAATCAACAGGAAGTCAGCCATTTAGCACTTCCTGTGTCATTTTCATCTCACATGTCAATATTCAGTCATAGTGAAAGTGCTGATGTATCTAGACTTACTGGCATCTAGAAAGGACATGTTTCAACCTTACATAGTTGAATCAGAATTGTCAAGTCCTGCCTATACTCGGCTGATCGAATCGTGTCTTTTTGTGCATGGTGATTGCGAGACGAAGCTAAACTGAGGCTTATTGTTGTTGCAGTTCCTCGCGGGTCTATTAAAGTAGCCGGCTATTTAAAAATGATAAAATATTCTTTGTGTGGTTCATCAACAGTGATAAATTATCCGGAAGTCACGCGAGGTGCGCACGACGCTCCACTCTGCAACAGCCAGGCATATATGCTTGGATGTAGTAGTAAATTGTTGAAAGGGAGTTATCATCAACACGTGGGTGTGATATACATTAGAAACAAATGTGTTGCAACAGAGTTTGTGTTGAAACTCTGAGTTTTATGACGCTCTAAGGAAGCGCTAAATATCTAGCAGTATCTCCTCTATTGTCGCACTGCTTTAGTGTTATTAATGCTGTTGGTGCATGGTGAGACACCTCGACATACATTTTCTAAAAAGTGCAGGGAGGCGTCACATCGGCGCCTGTGAACGGGCACTGCACTTATACATACAATTTAATGGTACCACTAAATGTAATGTTTACCTGTTGGGCCACAGAAAATAAGCGTCCAGCAGTAAGACATCCCTGTTGGGTAGATTTGGTTTCTCAAAAACACAAAGCGGCACAGTTCTTAAAATAAGCAGCAGCAGAAACGTCAGACCTCCGTTTTAATTATATATCTTTAAACATTGCAGTTACGGCTGAAAATGAATAAACTATTTTGCCAATTTTACATATCTCCGCAATTGAAATCAACTGCCAGTTGTTTACCCGGAAGTGACTGTTTTTGTTAGCTCTGCGTCACAGTCTGGAGAAGGCTACTGTATCCCAACTAATGTCTGTATGATGCATCTGGTGTGTACTATGGTTGTCATGTACTATGTGGTGCACGCAGGAAAGAAACAAATCTGTTGCAATATCACAAGTTGCTGTACACTTGAATAAAACCATTATCTCCAGTTTTGTACTCTAGCTCATTGTTCTGTTAGGAGTCAAAATAAGAATGAACAAACTCCGTAGCTCTCATTATATCTCACTCATGTCTGAGCAAAACAGGGTGTCATGTGACATTTGTGTGTATTTGTTACAGCAAAACAAAGCTCATCAACTGATGATATCTTCGACTGATGTGCGGACAATGTCAACTGATAACAGTTATTGTTCAGGCAATGATGGTGATCCCATGGCCTTCACCAGAACGGAGTGAGGAGACAAAAACCAGCAGTGTTGAAAAGCAAGTGTGCATAATACAGAAACAGGTAAACAGAGGCATAGACAGAGGTGAAAATGTACGAGGGAGGGAGACCAGGCAGAACAGGAACAGGCAGAGGTGGATCAGTCGGCACCCAGAGGAAAGAAAATCACAAAAAGAGGAGAAGGAAAGAGCTGGGAAGCTCAGAAACACAAGAGAAAATAATTCTACTGACACTGAGAAACACTATTGAAGTGCCAGGGAAAAAAGCGTAGAGTAGAGTAGAATAGAGTAGAATGCCATCTTAGGTGTCGTAAAATGTGAGTCTTGCTTCTCAAAATACCAAACAGCAGTCATAGTTGATACTCAGCAGGACAGCTTCATAATGTTCACATTCCTTTACAAAATCCTATTTACAAAATTTTCCATTTGATTCCTTTTAGCTCCATCTCATTTCTGATTCCATGACATGAAAATATAGATTTTGGCAGATATTTATCGACTAAATAAAATGATGTAGACTCAGACTCCAAGATGTTGGTGTGATTGGTGTTGTAGGCTGGTTGACTCTGGATCATGAATACACCTTCTCTTTCTAGGATACGTACTCAGTTGTCTTCCAGAAGTGTCCAGGGTGAGACAGCCGGCGATTGAGTTTGGGGAGTCTGTCCAGCATGCAAGTCAGCTGGGTGAAAGTCGGCCTGTTGTCTACCTCAGAGGACCAGCAGGCAGACAGGATCTCCTGTTGGGATGGAATGAGGAGGATTACATGATTCAGGATGCTTCAACTGTGATTTCCATTTATCAATTTGTTGGCTGTTTACTAGCTTACAATTCAACTGTGACTGTATCACCAGAAGACATCCACCTTGACTATGATGTAAATGATAAATCTTACGCAAAAGTATCTGAATCTCTAGTACCTGTTATAATGCTGCTCAGAATGTACATAAGGCAGCAGAGCTTGGTAGGTACAAGGGACAAAGAATTTAGACAATGTGTTTCTTATGCCTGTTCTTTTTACTAATTATTGACCAAGCTAGTGCTAAAAACAAAAAGCTGCATACTAAAGGGAAATAACTGGTGCTAAAAATGAGTTGATTGGTTGGTTATCAAATTTTAAACCAGACACAGGACCAAGACTGAGGTTGTTGGAAGACTGTGCAGAGCCAAAGATGGGGACTTCAGTTTTATTTTCTGTAAACTGTAGAAAGGTTTTAGCCATCCAGGACGTAACATCCTCAAGGGACTTCAGGGGGGACCTTAAGTAGTGTTGTAGTCAAGACTTCCCAAACCGAGACCAAGTCTTGACCAAGACCCGAGTATAATGAGACCGAGACAAGACCAAGACTTTGAGGGGTTGAGACCAAGTCAAGACCAAGACAAGTACCCAACACTACTTGACACAAAAAAATGTGGAACGTGCATATGATAGGTACTTCTCAAATTGATCTGAAAGATCCACATTCCCGTAAAAACATCCACTTACAGACACTAAGAGCTGAAATCAGCTAAACATCTTTATTAAACGCTTCTATTTTTTCACAAGTTTTCAACAATAGCGCCACCTAGTGGCTGAGGGGCGCCAACGATTTTGGTTTGCTGTTAATTGGACAGACCAATGGGAAGATCTGAGATAGCTTAATTTATTGCGCCACCTAGTGGTCAATTGGTGGTGGTCAAAATTTTGCATAGAGCCTCAAAGGGCATGGGAAAGTACTAATCCACGTTTCGTGTTAATCTGACAGACCGATGCGAAGATATAACATCACTTCCTTATACTTATTTATTCCAGCATCCTTTGCACTATACTTCATTGCACTGTGTACATGTATGCTGTATATGTACCTGTATATCACATCCACTACTCCTGCATCCTTTGCACTCTGCTCACTGCACTATTTGTCAATATGTCTATATTGTTTTTGTTCATAATGTGTATGTTTGTGTTGTCCGCCTAGGAGTTCAAAAAAGTAAGTTTTGCACATTTCAAGATGCAGCTCAATTCAGGGAATGCATGGACATAAGGTTTTTGAATGTGATCAAAGTGCCATCTGCTGGTTGACGTGTCATTTTTTGCATCTGAGGTGTCTGCAGCAGTCTATGCCAACAAGGCAGTGCCTTTGAGAATTATTGTTTTAAGAAGATGACAGTAAGGCTAACTGTCAAGTATGTTTTGAAGTGTTTGCATGATTGACAGTTATCTCAGCCTATCACACTTAGTGATAGTGGTTGTCTCTTGCTGGTCACATCACAGCTCTGCCCTGACTCCCTTGCCCCAGACCAAATTAGAAAATAAAAACAGATTTTCTGGCTTTAAGATGATAGTGACAGTGTGTGCCTCTCTTCCTTTAGTCTCTCTTTGCCACAGCCATGTTCTTCTATTATCTATGTAACAGGCTCACCGTGACCTCCTTGCCCAGGTTGGAGTCTGTCAGCACCTTCTTAATGCCCTCATTGCTGCCCACTAGCCAGATTGTAGTTTCCACAGGTTGTTTGGTGATTGGCCAATCTCCGACCTGCAGCTCATGCCAGATTGTGCTGAAAGTTACACAACACAAAAATCAGATCAGGGAAACCGTAGTGATAGTGAAACCAACTTATATGCTATCTTAATTAATTAAAGGCCAAAGACAAGCTTTGGCACACTGTTGTTATACATTCATGCCAATAAAGCTGTTAAATTTGAATTGACCAAAAAATAGTAAATGTTTATCTTGTAAACTAGAGTGTCTATTCCTCCTTTACTTTAAAATATAGCATATATTGAGTGTTTCTTGATTAACCTGAGTAGGCCGTTAAACTGTAATCAACATCAATCAGTACCCAAATGCATAAACGTCAGCAGCTTTGGAGAAAGGCAGCTGGTCCTCATCAACCTCTGGGCTCATTTTTCTAACAATCTCTGGAGCCAGGTAGTTGATCCAGCCCTGAGGTATCCGGAAAAAGTTCTTTCTTCTAAACAAGCACACACACACACACACACACACATATACAACACTAATGAAGACAACAACTGTGGCTTACCAGACACACATATCAATTTTTTGAGCATTTATTTCACTCCTACCTGCCTTCTTGTACCACTCCAGACATCCCAAAGAGGCCAAAGTCTGTAATGACCACCTTGTTTGTGTCATAGAACACATTCTTAGACTTCAGATCCTTGTGAATGATGCCTTTGGCATGCAGATAACCCATTCCCTGTAAAAGAATCAGATTTGCTGAACACAAGACATTTCTATGACCTGGAGTGAAAGATAAGTGGTAGCTGAGGCTAGGCATTTTTATTATTATCACTGAAAGGCCCAATGAATTTGACTCTTTTAATAACAGAATCCAACCATGATGAAATAAAGACACTAAGTTACTGTACTGATACATCATTCTCTTGTATAAATAAAGTCATTAGGGCCCAAGCCATAACGTGCAGGGTCCCTATTGAAAATGAAGGAATTTTTTTTCCTGCAAAGTAACCTCAACAACCTTTAACAAACTCCTCTTTGGGATTTAGTCCGACCGACTTTTTTTCTGTGCAGTCTAAACCCACTGACGATTAAAAGTTGTACAAACGGTGAGATTCCATGGAACGGCGTGCCCGTGGCGTCCAAAAGCAGGAAGTTGTTGTAACTTCAGTCTACATGCTCATATCTGCACCAAATTTGGGATGCATTATACAGGTGCTGGTCATATAATTAGAATATCATCAAAAAGTTGATTTATTTCAGTAATTCCATTCAAAAAGTGAAACTTGGATATTATATTCAGTCATTACACACAGACTGATATAATTTAAATGTTTATTTCATTTAATTGTGATGATTAAAACTGACAACTAATGAAAATCCCAGATTCAGTGTCTCCGAAAATTAGAATATTACTTAAGAGCAATACAAAAAAAGGATTTTTAGAAATGTTGGCCAACTGAAAAGTATGAACATGAAAAGTATGAGCATGTACAGCATTCAATACTTGGTCTTAAGTAATATTCTAATTTTCTGAGATACTGATTTTGGGGTCAGTTATAATCATCAAAAATAAAAGGAATGAACACTTGAAATATATCAGTCTGTGTGGAATGAATGTATACATTATACAAGTTTCACTTTTTGAATGGAATTACTGAAATAAATCAACTTTTTGATGATATTCTAATTATATGACCAGCACCCGTAAGAGTCCCGCCCTGAACACTCAAAGTCATAGCGCCACCTGCTAGCAACAGGAAATGACACATTTTATGTTTTAATGTACTACATCTAGCAGGTTGGACATATCAACTTCAAACCTGTCCCAGAAAACCCTTAACACACTGATTAAACCATGTTGTAAAACTTGCCGTTAACGGCGTGGCGTCAAAGTTACTCTGCGCCATGACACTGGAAGTTGTTGTAACTTGACTGTACATGGTCAGATCTATACCAAATTTTACACGTTTAATAAGAGTCCTGCTCTGAACACATGTACATACACAACATTCACCTATAGTCATAACACCATCTACTGGCAACAGGAAGTGACCTTCAACGAAGCAGCCCCCGCAACACGTTTCACCTATATATAGGAAATTCCTGTGACACATGTACCAAAAAGCCTCTTGGAGTGATGCCCTAAACCCAACAGGAAGTCAGCCATTTTGAATTTTAGGTCAAGAATTTAAGAAGAAGTGAAGGCCTTATTGGGGGAAATTAAGAGTGATGTGAAGATTGATACGTATTGTAGGAAATGGGAATATTTTAAATATAAGGTTAGGGGAAGGGTTAGGGTTAGGGTTAGGGTCTGTCTCTTAAGTATAGTAAAACCAGGAATAAACAGTTAAGAGAATGTGAATTTAAACTGGTTCAGGGAATTAATGGTGTTTGTAGAAAAAATGAGTTGTTAGAGGAAGATAAGGCCAAGTTATTAAGTTTACAAGCCTGGTTAGATAATTTATTCATCCATAGAGTGGAAGGTGCTTATGTCAGGTTCCAGACAGTTTAGTCCAAAATTGATAGAACAGGGGGAAAGGAATACCTCATATTTATTTGGACTTGAAAGGAGGAGACAGGAGAGAAATAAATGTGTTGATGGTGAATAATACAGAATGCTCTGACACAAAAGCAATTTCTGAAGAAATATATAAATTCTTCTCTAAATTATACTCTTCATCTTATTCAGAGGAACATTCATTGTTGTTTCTTGAAAGCATTAAGCAATATATTCCTCAAATTGAGACAGATTTTAAAGAAAGATGTGACTCTGTGATTAATATGAAGGAGTTGGATTTAGCTTTAAAGCAAATGTCAATAGGCAAATCCCCGGGTGAAGATGGTTTAACCTCAAACTTTTATAAATTTTTCTGGGAAGAGATAAAAGAATTATTATTTAGTGCCCTAAAAGAATTTTGAATATTGAAAACAATCATTTAATGATGACCATGAAACAAGGTATTATTACTTTGTTACCCAAACCTGGGAAGGACAAGAGATATATTGATAACCTGAGGCCAATAACTTTATTAAATTTGGATTACAAATTATTTACACGGATTTTTGCCAATCGGTAGAAAGAGGGCATGGGACAGATAAGTAGTGAGACTCAGTCAGGGTTTCTTAAAGACAGATCTATACACAACAACATTAGGCAGGTTCTTGATTTACTAGATTGTAAAGACTTTATCGAGGACAATGGTTTCATATTGTTTTTAGATTTTTACAAAGCTTTTGACTCAGCTGAACATCCATTTATAATGAAAACTTTAGAGCATTTTGGGTTTGGGTCAGAATTTATTAAGGTAGTTAATATGATGTATAAAGATATCAATAGTTCAGTTTCTCTCCCGCAAGGAACGTCTAGAAGATTTGAGGTTAAATGAGGGATTCGGCAGGGTTGTCCTTTCTCCCCTTTATTTTTTATTTTAGTTGCAGAATTATTAGCGGTTCTTATAAAAAACAGCCCTGAAATAGAGCCTACATCCATCCATCCATCCATTGTCAACCGCTTATCCTGCGTACAGGGTCGTGGGTAGAGCCTACATGTGCTAGGTAATTATCTATGAATAACTGAGACGACACAACCATCTTCCTCAAAACTTCAGAACAGATTCCTCTGGTAATTGAGAAGATAAAGGGGTTCTCTACAGGATTGTTTTTCTCTGGATTACAGTTAAATTTAAAGAAATGTGAACAAATGGCTATACATGAACACCCTCTAGGGGATTTGTATGGTATTCTAGTTAAAATGGAAGTTAAATGTTTAGGGGTGGTTATAACAAGAGACAGGAAAACCAGAGAAGAACAAAATATTGAGATTGGTATAAAGAAAAGTAAATCTATACTTGATTCTTGGTTACAGAGGGATTTATCTATTTTCGGAAGGGTGTTAATTACTAAAATTTAATTGTTATCTAGAGTTATGTACCCCGCGTTTTCTCTGGTCATCCCAGAGAACTTAATTAAATCTATGAATCAAACTAATTTTAACTTCATTTGGAAAAATAGACATCACTATTTAAGAAAAAGAGATGTTTTAAAATCGCTAGAAGAAGGGGATTTAAATGTGATTGACTATGAGGCCATGAATGGAGTGGTAAAACTAAATGGTTACAGAAATTCATACAAAATAGTGAGGGCTTCTGGTTTAATATTCCATCTAAAATATTTGATAAATGTGGAGGGATTGATTTTTTTTACCAAGATGTGATTTCAGTGTTGCTAAACTTCCTATTAAGCTGTCCAAATTTCATGAGCAGGTCCTCCTTTATTGGAAAATGATTTATAAACACAGATTCACTCATTTTGGTGAATTAAAATCTTTATGTCACTGGGTGGGAAGAGAGGTGTCTGGTCTATTTTACATATGATGGATGGGAGGTGGGATTTTGGAGTACAATGTATTCATTAATACATTTAATGTGAAGTGTACAAAGAAACAAGGCAATTCCACAGGCAATGGTGACCTTGGTTAGAGGCATACTGTCTTATGAGGTAGTTCTACCTCAGATGCCGTCACTTTATATAGGTGAACTGGACTTTAAGGAGAGAATAAGTGCTAACAAAATTATAAGGGCAAACTTTTCCCTTTACCATTAAAAAGGAAAAATATATTAAAAGATCAATCAAAAGAAATTATAAGTAGATTAAGAACTGGATACCTCACTGTTCCTAGCTAAAGAAACTCATTTTAAAATATTAAATGAATCCTTGTAACCTGTTTCTGAAACAACGATTTAATATTGATAAGAATAATTGTACTTTCTGTGATGCAGCGCTGCTCCCTGCTCCTCTCCCCCAAGTTTAGCAGCTCTCAGCCGACCAGCAGATTTTCAATCACCCGCTCTGCCTGGTCCTCTCTACACAACGCTCTGAAGCCTCAGTGATGTACGGACAATCTCGACACTGATAGGCTATTGCGACTCAGCGTCATGCGACTTCTTCGCTTGAGTTGAAAATATTCAACTCATGCGGATTCCTTCGCGTTGCCTTCGCGTCGCCCGACAGGAGATCGCGGCTCTTTGCGTTGACTTTGTATGTAAAGTCACCGCCCCGAACGCTCGCTTCGCTTTTGGTCTGAAAGCACCATTAGAGTTTTATATTAGATTTGGAGTTATATTGAAAGATAAAAAAAGAGACTTGATGTATAACAGTTTAATTATTTTAGCTAAGCAGTTTATCCATAAGTGTAGACTTATGAAGGTAAGACCTCTGTTTTTGGTTTTTATGAAGGAGTTAATTCTTTATAAGAAAGCCTTGAAAGATATAAAAATAAGACAAGCCTTGGATGTTTTCAAAATTATACACATTTTGATAACTGATTAGACCTCTTGTGTTATTTTGTGTTTTATTTATTTATTTCTCATGTTTTTTGTATGTATGTATTGTTATGTATGTATTTAAAATGTACTGATTTTGGAGGTATTTATTGTTAATATGAATTTGTAACGCCTGATTTTGATTATTTAGTAAAAGGTTGTAAAAAAAATTCATAAATAAAAAAGTTTGTTTCAAAACTCCTGTGCAGAACAAGCGGCAACCTCTGGCTCTCACTTCTCGATACCAATACGGAAGTATCTGAAGCTGCAATTCATCGAGTGGCCACTTGAGGCTGGCTGCAGAAGGGAGTCAATCTCTATTAACCCCCATGTTAAAATGCCCAACTTTACAGCAGAATAAAACATGTTTACAGCCTGGTTCAAGAAATGGTTTTAGTGCACATCGCTAATTTTGCCCTTCGTAACAACTGTGAGGGGGGTGAATTTTTTTATAACTCACCTGTTTAAATTATATCAAGGCTTAAAGTTCTGCATTATTAGGGGCGTGGCCGCTTTGATTGACAGACGCCTTTAGCCGCTGCCACTCCTAGCATTCGGTCCGTCGTCTGTTAGCCTCACTCAGCTACACGGAGCTCTGAGGCTCAGCCTGTCGGAGCCTTCTGGACATTTCTACATGCAGATACTGTATGAATAATGACAGGCTGTACAGTTTATTGGCGAGAGAACCTCCCGGAAATCCATGTTCTACTTGGTGAGTGAAATTCCTTTATTTTATTGATGTGTTAAAGAGGTGGTATTATGGTTTTTGGCTTTTCCCCTCTCCTTTATATTTATCCTTTATATCTTTTTTTGTGCATGTACTAGGTTTGCATAGTGAAAAAGCCCAAAGTCCAGCCCAAAGGGAGTTTCCATCTCCCACAGAAAACTCTGCTCTGAACTGACTGAAAAAAGCTGGTTTGTAGACCAGCCTTTACTTCTCTTTCTTGTAACGTCACAATGAAAATACGTGTCATAATGCTCGCTGAGCAGCTACTCCGACACGCCCTCAAAAACACCGGTGGACAGTGAGCTGCAGCACACCTCTCCTCTCCCTTCCAAACACTAGCTACCCTCCAAGCAGTCAGTGGACAGGAAGTTCCTGTGATGTAGAGACAGAGCTCAGTTAAAACTTTATGGATGAAAGATACTTTTGTTACAGATTAATAACTCACCACTCTGAAACTCTTGCTCCAGTCCATGTTGCCAAGCTGGTCTGCAACATGTAGCCTACAGCTGAATCAAAGCTGTTTACCGTCTTTTTGCTGACCCGCCCTTCTCTGCTTCTGATTGGCTAGTAGTCCTTAACTAGGAACTGCGCATGTACAACTCTGAGCAAAGATCATTTAGAGACAAGATGCATCACTCCATAGCTAAAACGAAGCCTTCAGCACATATAGTGTTTTTTGAAAATTCAACCATGTAAACCTGTTCTGGTCCAACCCCTAAATAGGATTTTGAATCTGAAAATGAGCATAATACCACCTCTTTAACATTTAACAGGTATCGCTGTTGGCAAATAGCTTGTTAGCTTAGCTCGTTATGCTAATTAGCCAGATAGGAGCAGCCCCAAGCTGCTAAGTTAGTGTAAGTAAGTAAGTAAGTAAGTGTGTTCTCTTATTTTTTTAAATTTTTTTCTTATAAACCTGCCCTGCCTGGCAGCCTGGTATGAGTATGAGGAGCTGGGTACCATATTGTGCCAGACAGATTTTACTTTAACAAGAGCGTATTAATATACTCCTTTGTCTGTATTGTTATTTATTCAAATTTATTTTTCACCGGGCCAGACAGGGGACAGACATGGGGATGAGGAATAGAAACACCACATAAACAGACAGCACAGAGAGAGGGCAACACCTGCAAGAGAACGGGGATGGGGGGTGAGGACAACAGGAAATAGAAGGAAACACCAATTGCAGAAAGCAACAAAACTTGCAAGAGAACGGGGAGGGGTGCTTGGGGTGGAGAAAAACAAACAAACAAACAACAAACAACAAACACACCAACAAACAAACAAAAACAAAGAGACAAACAGCCGAACAGCAGCAATAAACAGCTGACATAGGAAGACAATTGAAAGAGAAATGAAAATGAGAAAAAATCATAAATACAGCTTGACACACAACACCGTGAGAGCTGAAATAATAACAATTAATTTAAATAAGTAACTGAATGAAAAACATCAAGAATAATTCTACCAGGGACAACCATTGTTTGTGTGTGTGTCTATATGTGAGACTGTGTGTGTCTGAGTGCGTGTGGGTGAGTGTGTCTGTATGTGTATGTGTGTGTATATGTTTGTGTACATAAGCCTGTTACAGAATGTAGTTCATAGTGAGAGTGGGATGCCACAACCGCGCCGTACCGACTCCAGCAACAGGCAGGCAAGACCCCCAGCAGCCAATAGGGGTGGGAGAGAAGTCGACTCCCAGACGAATTGCGACCCAAACGCAGAAGACCCCGACCCGACCAATAAACGCCAAAGACAGTGGATGTATGTCATGGATTGTGAAGTGTTGCATGGTGGAGTAAAGATAAGGTGTGTGGTAATTAAGGTGTAGTTAAAATAGGAGGGTAGTTGTGACACAGGCACCCCACAACTGTCAGGTAGTGGAGCCTCCCAACGTGCCCCTCCCACCCCCCAATCCCTCTGTGTCTAAGATGTAATTAAAATTGAGGGGCGGCCAGTGGGGGAGGAAGAAGGGCAATAAAGTAGCCCCACCCACCAAATACCCTGCAGCCTGTCCTCCCCCCAGATTCCTAAGGGTGTATGTAGTGAGACATGACCAAAGGAGGGAAGGTGAAGGAGGTCATAGGGAGGCTAGAATGGTCCTCCCCACTGGGTCCAGATTCCTGACTGGTCCCATCATTTAGCCCTGTCCCCCACCCCCCCTAAGCAGGAGGACACCAGGTCCCTCCAGCCCAGGGCTTGTAGCAGCACCCCAGAGCCAGCGACAACCCCGCCCAGCCCCAGGACAGGTCCAAGGGGGTCCAGCCCCCCAGTGCGTAGACCCGCGCCCAGACCCAGAGATACCAAAGCCCCGAGCCCCAGGCCCCCACACACCCCCCGAGGCAGTTCAGTGCAGCCTCGACCCGAAGCCCAATAACCCACCCCACAAGTTAGTGTGTTCTAACCGCAGCTTTTAAGGAGTCAAAGATAAGAGAGAAGCCAAAATGTAACTTATTAGATTAACCTTAGTGTTAGACATTAAGGTGATAATGCTTTGAAGAAAAGGCGTAAGTAAAGGCTCAGTTAGCTGACGTTAGGTTAGCAGTAAACTTTACATACGGGCAATGTTAGATTTGGCTAACGTTACGTACTGTAACAGAGTCACTGTTCAGTTAGATACTAGTCCGATACTATTATAAGTGGCTGCACCTGATCCCGATGGACACGAAGGGTTTAAAGGCAGAGAGCCGAGGGGGGAGCGGCTGCAGAGTTCTGCCTGAAACTGTCACACCGAGGAGAGCCGTGTACCTCCAAGTGTACTGTTTAAAAACAATAACGTTATACTATTCTTTGTGGGGTTCATCAGTGGGGATGATTGATTCGAAGTACATATTGAAGGCAGTTTTGAGTCATCAATAAGTTATTACACTCAGTATATGTAGCATTCCTTGAGATTCAGCAAACAATCTGAGGTGCTTAAAAACACACGATTCGACTATAGGTAGGACTTGACGATTCTGATTTGACTATGTAAATCCTTAGTTGGGGACAGCCCTACATCCATGCTTTCATGATGTTAAGGCCAAATTCTGACCCTACCATCAAAATGTTGCAGCTGAAATCGAATACTAGGAATTGTAGCATCAGTATCCTGTTCTTAGCTGACAGGAGAAGCACTTCTTCTGCTGCTGTAGCCCATCTGCTTCAATGTTCAACGTGTTGTGCGTTTGAGATGGTATTCTGCATACCTTGGTTGTAACGAGTGGTTATTTGAGTAACTGATGCCTTTCTGTCATTTCGAACCAGTCTGCCCATTCTCCTCTGACCTCTCACATCAATATTCATGAATGTCAGTTTGGTATGTGATATTTTGTTTCATAGATTATCCATCCATTTGATATTAAAATTATAGTTTATAATTAGGGGTGTGATGAGACACTTGAGACGAAATTTGAGATTTTAACACTTTGTTAAAGAAATCTTTAATGCTGAATAATATTTTAAAAAACTGAGCATTAAACACTTTATTTCCTGCATTCTGATGTTTTTTTTCTGCACCAGTTTATGGTGATTTATTTTATTTATATAAAGAGGAACACAAAATTCAGGTGGCGGGTGACAATTCACAATCTATAACCTAACTATAACAGAATATAATGCAGTGCAGCTCTCGGGCATTCTGTGTTGCTTTCAGATCTGTTTTTCCTGTAGATCAACTTTTCTCATGTAATATCAAATTCTCTCCACAAATCCCCACATGTTAACTTCAGCGGCTCCGATAAAGTGCACAGTCCCAAACAAAGCAAGGTTGCGCTTCAGTTATTGGATGTTTATGTTGCAAAACATTACCAGCTGTGTTACCACTCATCACACGTGTGTGGACTCACAGCGTGAGTGGGTTCAGTTGATTACTATCACAGCGTATGCAGCGTCAGCTGTGCGGAGTTGATTAGCTTATCAGTTTTACATTTGTATTTCACTGCATGAGAAAATGAATGTGTCGCTTGACAACATGTGAAAAATGTCTTGCTTGAGTCAGCTTTTTACCTTACAAGAAATCTTGTCATAATTTAATCTCGCAAGATCTTGTGGCACAGTATCTCGTCACACCCCTCTTTATAAATGTATATATTTATTTTTAAATTCAGGCCATCTGACACAGCTCGAGGGATGCTTACCTTTACAATCTCCTGTGCAATCTGTCTGATTTTATTGATGTCCAGCATATGACCTCTTTCTCTTACAACAGAGTGTAGAGTCAAACCTTTACAGAAACTGCAGAGAAAATATTGCAGTACATGCAATATTGTTACTAAAACTGAATTCACAAATCACGATCAGAACACAAATATCCACCAAAACAGCCCATCACATCTAATATTAGATACAATTATCCCAAAGTATGATTATGCATTTGTGACTGGAACTGTACTGCACATTAGGTAATTACAGGGAACATCTGATCTCAGTTTTTAGCTGACGAGTCATGCAGCTTTACCTGGTGATGATGGCGAGGTGGGGTGGAGCCATGCAGGCACCCATGAACAAGACAACGTTCTCGTGCCTGGTCTGCCTGTAGTTCATCACCTCCTTTTTAAAGAGCTTCAGGTGATCCTGATTGTTGCCGTCAATCTCCAAAAGGCGAATGGCCACCTCGCCGTGCCAGCGACCCTTATGCACCTTCCCCCAACGACCCTGGACAAACTCAAATGTGTTAGCTGTGTTGGAACCAAATGTTGATATTTTATGCTTTCATACCAAGATTTAGTGTGCCCGTATTACATCTCAGTCCTTACCTTGCCAATAAGCTCTCCCAGCTGCAGCTGCTCATATGGAATGTCCCACTCCTGCAGGTACACACTGGTCTGACTGGCCTTACGAGAGATGGGGCCCCTCCAGCGGCCAGCAGCCCCACGACGACATATGGAAGAAGGCAATTCCTCCAGCCCATCCTCATCACACTCCTCAGTGGAAAGGCTCTTTTTTCTGCTGCGCTGGTCAGCTGTTTCCTCATCTTCAGCTGTGTAGTCTTCGCTTGCCTCCTCCTTGTGTGACATATAACAATATAAGGGAAGTGAACACTGACACTGAATGTTTAATTAATGATTGATTTTAGTAAAACTCAGTTCGAAGCACATTAGAAAAAAGTATTGTAACAAAAGCATTGTGAAAAACATAAGAAAACCAACTTGAAGGTACAGTGGTACATATATACTCTAAAAGGCCAAATCTACATTGGAGTCCTAAAGTCTGAGTCAACTACCAGAATATGTTTAATTCTTAATTAAATTTTTTTATACATTATTACATGCATTTAATACATCATTATTCCATCACTGTAGAGCAGGGGTTACTAAACTTTTTTAACATAAGAGAAATTTGGTGCCCGGGCAACCAAACTTACAAAAATATATTGATACATTATGAATTGCTGTAACATCTACATGTATAATCTACTGATAAACACAACAAAACATGAATTTCAACTGTATATGAAATGTATTTATTTCATAATAAAAGTACATCACAGTTAAAATCTAATTTGCCGAGTATAAAGTTTTCAGCCATCTCATAATGACCCACTCACTATGTCAGCTGGAGTTGGGAGTGGGCTGAAGTGTATAAAGTATGCTACATCTTAGCAATAATCAAATTTTCTGAGTGTAATGTGATCAGGACCTGGACAGGACAGGATCCAGGACCTTGAGTTGATCAAATTTAGCAATTTAACAATTTAGAGCAAAAAAGGGCCTGACGTCATCTGCATTTTTTCCCCACTGTCGTATTGAATCAGACCAGATTTGTGAGATAAAACACGCTCTGTCTGTTCGGCCTGTTTGCTTTTTGTGGTTGTAAATATAACTTTTGGACAAATTCTATTTCACCCTATTGTAGTAATCCACAGAAGGGAGTGGGAGAGACAATTTATCTCTCCCACTCCCTTCTGTGGATTACTACAATCTCTCTTTCCAGAGAGAAAGAGAGAGAACTGAAAACCTTAAACAGCTGTTTCTCAGCACTGATTTCAAGTAAGTATTGTTTCGAGTTCTTAGTGCTTTGTTTGTGATGACAGTTAGCTTAGTTTTAACAGCTAGGCCCCTGTGTTGTCCAGTGTGCTCCAGCCATTGACGCCAACTGGCGACCCAATAAAAACTGATCCATTTTAGGTCACGACCATATAGGATGTCACTTTGGTTGTCCAAAATACAGTTATTGACTCGCCTGCTTTATCCATTTAGTAATATAGTCTTGAAGTAACGTCATAACAACAACATGGTGCAGGATGAGAGAAGTTAGCAGACAGAGAGCGATGAACTTCACATGACAGGATTCAGGATTTTTCGGAAAAGCTGTTTTGATTCTTTTGATTGGTGAACCCTTACAGACTAAAGGAAGATAAATAATCAAGGAACGGACACATTCGGACTTAACGAGCGCTTCAAAGGTAACGGCAGTCATCACTTTCCTCTCTTGTACCAGGCAGGTTACACTGGTAAATCTCTAAGAATTAGACTTTGGGGATGGTTGTTTCCATTGAATGAACTGAACAATTGAATTGTGGAGAATCTAACCAATCTAACGATGTGTAGCATGGTCATACTGACATATTGACCATACGTTTAAACATTAATATTATATGAACAATCTAAGCAGCTTAGAAGCAGCTAAAGTGGGCAACCCTGCAGGCTTTAAGAGGTTTTATACATCCAAAGAACTTCTATAAAAACTAGACCAGACAGACTTTTAAATTGAGGCAGGCGTTTATTTGTCAAAATGTGTTCCCAAACCAGGCCAGTAAACAGGATAGGCAGCTATTTGGGACTCGGCTATTAATTGAAGTTTTATGGTAACTGAACTGCACCCAGCCACTTTAGCTAGCTAGCAATTCATCCACGTTAGCAAGCAAGCTACTGTTAACTAACAATGGGCAGCTAAACCATAATATCACAATATACAGTATTTTATATGCTTTGCAGTAATGTTAGCTTTGAATTTGTATGTTGTGTTGGACTCTGTATTGTGGTGGATGCTGATGGTTTGTCAATGTTAACAGACTCTCTCACCTAACATTAGCTAGTGTTGCACACTGTCGCTCTCTCCACCACAACTGGTAAAGGCAGATGGCTGCTCACCCTAAGCCATGGTTCTGTTCGAGGTTTCTGTCTCTTAAAAGGAAGTATTTCCTTGCCTGTGTAGCCAAGTGCTTGCTAATGGTGGGAATTTTTGGGTCCCTTTAAATAACAGCACAATGAGTACGGTCTAACATGCTCTATAGGAAAAGCGCTATGAGATAATGTGAATTGGCGCTATATAATTAAAATTGTATTGAATTGAATGATTGTCATTGTGGAGGAGTGGAAGAGAAGGCACTCTGGAGCGCACACAAATTTCACATCCTTTTGGATTTTCCTCAGAAATCTGCCCACAGGCATAGGCAACACTGTCTAATTTTTCAGTTTTTAAGCTACGTTACATTGGCAATACAAAGTCATTAATGCATGTAAAGTGCTTCACATTCTTACTTATGGTACCTTTAAGAGATCTTCCAACTTCTACTGATGACAAATATGTCAGTGATAGAAAAAAAGAACATAACTAACTCTATGCGACTGCCAGTACTCACCCCTTCTTGGTCCACTGCTGTTAGCTGTGTCTTAGTGACGGCCACCTGTGACATTCTGAGAGAAAAACCTCACAATTAGCAACCAAAAAATATATTTTTTACTAGCCTGACTGATACTCTACATGATTTATCAGGCTATGTGAGTTTAAAAAAAATCAAATGCAATCAGAAAAAAGTATGTGAACCCCTTGGAATTACCTGGGATTTCTGCATATATTGGACATAAAATGTTATCTGGTCGTTATCTAAGTCATAACAATAGACAAACACAGTCTGCTTAAACTAATACCACACAAACAATTATGTTTCATCTTTTTACTGAACACACCATGTAAACATTCTCAGTGCACGGCGGAAAAAGTACGTGAACCCTTGGATTTAATAATTGGTTGACTGTCCTTTGGCAGCAATAACCTCAACCAAACGTTTCCTTAACCTCATTGAGCATTCTGCACTGTGCTCGTGCAGTCATCTTTGCAGGACGGCCATTCCTAGGGAGAGTAGCAACAGTGCTGAACTTTCTCCATTTATGTACAATTTGTCTTGCCATGGACTGATGAACATCAAGTCTTTTAGAGATACTTTTATAACACTTTCCAGCTTCATGCAAGTCAATAATTCTGAATCTTAGGTCTTCTGTAAGCTCTTTTGTTTGAGACATGATTCACATCAGGCAGTGCTTCATGAGAATAGCACAGTTTAAATTGGTCCAATCTTGTCTCATTGATTGGACTCCAGGTTGGCTGACCAGTGTTTCCCATTCATTGATTTATTTTTTTTACTATTTTAAATAGGTTCAATTGTATGTGATTGCAACGCTGGACATATATTTGCTCAGCACCTCCTCTTGTTCTCTCGCTCCCTCTGTCTCTTGCAAACACATTGATAATGAATTCATCTGTGTGAATTGAATGGTTAGTATCATGAACACCTCAGCACAAATCTGTCCAACACAACGCTGTCAATGTCAGAGACCCACCTTTAAAAAAGTTTGTTAGCAAGCATGTAAGGAGTCTAGCTAATAAGGACAGCCATGTTAACATTAGAGTACAGCTGGGCTGTCGAGTTTAGCACATTGTATATAGCTGCTAGTCATTATCGACTGCATTCCCCCCTCCCTCCCCACTGCCACAGTTATGCTGTTATTCTGTGGGAAACACTGCTGACTCCTGACTCCAGTTAGCTTTTGGAGGAGTCATTAGCTTAGAAGTTCACATACTTTTCCACCCTGCACTGTGAATGTTTACACATTGTGTTCAATAAAAACATATAATTGTTTGTGTGGTTTTAGTTTATGCAGACTGTGTTTGTTTATTGTTGTGACTTAGATGAAGATCAGATCACACTTTTGACCAATTTATACGGAAATCCTTTATATTTATATATAGATTTTATTTAAAAATGTTTATCATTTATGTACAGTATAAGCATTGTTGGAAAGGTTACTTTGAAAATGTAATAGGTTATATTGTAGATTACAAGTTACCCTATTTAAAATTTACTTTATCAAAGTATTCTAACTTATTATCTTTAATAACTTTTTGAGTACTTTTCTAAATTTCTAATGAATGTTTTCAACTGTTAACCATTTTCAAAAGATAGCTTGAGAGGCAATTTAACTTTCACATGGTTGCGCTGCAAATTGAAACATCATAACCAATAAAATCCATCTGAATAGCATCAATCCAATGCTGACCGATTTCCTAAATGACATTGTGCACATGAAAAACATGCAAAGCAACAACATGAATATCATTCAACATAGCCATTACAGAAAATATATTTAGATGTATCCACCAATGTAATCATGAACATTTTCATAACTGTAATTTAATTACATTTTTCCAGGTAACAGTAATGGATTACAGTTATTTTGCAATTAAATTAAGTAATTAAATTACATGTAACTAGTTACTCCCCAACACTGCGTGTATGCGATATATAAAATCAAGCCTGAAAAATACTGAATTTGTGATATTGATATGTAACAGTTTATATATTTTAACACCAACACATAAATTAAACAAACATAATGAATGTTGTACTTTACAATTGTGACTAAAACATAATACAAAATGTGATAAGCTAATATCAGCCAATATGGTACCCATGTTGCTGTCTCTTACCCTGAGTCATAGTAGGTGCCAGAATGTTGAACACCAGTATATGTGGAAGCAGCAACATCTGTTGGAAAATACAACTTCAGAATACAGCACTACTACTAAGAGTAATTGTCAATTTCAAAATGCAGAGGATATTAAATGCTTCTGTCTCAAGCTCTTAGGCCACCATATATTAGGGACTTATAAAAAGATTTTTTAAAGAATCTGCTTCACGTTTACCCTGATAGTACTTAGCATACACAGCGATTTAGTATTGCTCAGTTACAAAATACAGATTAAGAACATGTTCACAATAAACTAAAAAAGCATCTTTTTGTCTGTGCTGTAATCCTCTTTCCAGACTAAAACTGTGTTTTTCTTCACCCAAAAACTGGACTTTTTCAAAAGTCTCCCAGGGAATAAATCTTAAAACTTTGACTTCTTCTTGTGTGTGTATATGAGAAACATAGCTTTAACGATGTAAACCTGCCAGTTAGGGTCGAGGGCATTGTAGCAGTAAAGGTAGGAGAAGTATATTGCATTTATGTTGACTTTGTCATACAATGTTGCAATCATAAAATAATGATTTTGTCACCATTGTATAAGTGTGGAACTTAATGTTGTTAATGTTATGTTCTTCTGCCTAAAAATAGTAAATATAAAACATACTAAATATCAGTACAAAACATTAACTACAGTAAAAAAATCAGTTAAATTAAGAAGCCGGACCTTATGTTGTTCAAGTAAGCTAAAGGAAGAATGGAAAACGAGGGAGAGAGGGGTTCTTTCCACAGCCAGAAGTATCACCAATATTGTGTCACAGTCTAAGATGCAAAGAACATTGTCGTCCGTGGTAAACTTATGTGCAACCACCAAAAAGCTTTCAACCGCCAACAATTCTACATCTGCTAAAGCAGTACAGCAACGTGAAACTTGTAGAAAGAAACTCCGGCATTAGTTAAAAAGTCAGGACTGACTTTCTTTATTTTTCCATCCAGTGGCATTAAGAAACATTATATGTTTGGTAAAAAAAACATATTCTTTGCTGCTGTTATGAATATGATATTAGTTAAAAAGTCAGGAGAGACTTGCTTTGTTTTAGTTTTTAAAAATATATATATTTTTAGCCTATACCGTGTACAGCATCATCTGGTCTGAGAGGCTGTCACCGGACCACTGAAACACGGAGAGAGAGAGACGCAGTGATCGTGTTGAACAAAGTGACTCAAAAGTAGGTCAAGTTAACCAAGAGCTTTGTCGTCTTATAATCAGGGTCGTCTTATATTCGGACCAATACAGTAATATTGTAATGTAACAAGTAACTTTGTGGCGGGGACTCATTTCAACCACCACCAACTTTTAATACCCAGTAATAAGTAAAGCAACATTATTACTTTTTTAAGGAGTAATAAGTAACTTATTACAATTCCTGAGTAACTTGCCTAACGCTGTCAATGAGGCTTATAATGTTTGCTGTTTTAGACAGTTTGTACTGTTGTTACACTGTACGTTATACTGAGATGCTTTTGTAATAATTTGTCCAACCCATTTAAATCACATTGCTGTGAAGAACCTGTTTTGTTGGAACCCTGCTTACATTACACAAGGCTTGTGTGTATGTGGGTGATACCAGTGACAGGGTACAGACCTGGGAAGTGGAAGCGGCTGTCCCAAGAGCCCTGCGGTGACGGGTTTGGTGGGGGAGTGGCACTCACACTTGGGGGGTTGCTCTGCTGGAAATGTGCTGGGGAAGAAGGTGTAGAGGAGGTGGCTGATGATGGGTTACTGCTAGAGTCCAGCTGGTTTAAATTGAGGGGAGGTTCCTGCTAACACACACACACACACACACACACGCTCAAACAAACACAATTCTATTATCATAATAGTAAGGAACTTCCATTGACACCATTTATTTCCAGTAGAACAACCTTGACAGTCAGAATTCCATACATATTATAATAGAAAAGGAACCAGTACTTACCCTTTTGGTTATTGCCTTTGGTAAAGTGCCATATTGCAGTGGGATCTCTGCTGTGTGATCAATCCGATTATTGATATCTGATGGCACTGATTCTGCTCTGCGCATCTTTGGCACTGCAAGTCAGATTAAAACATCAGCTAATTTTACATCATATTGTACATGTATATAATAGGTTCCCAATTGTGTAAGTCTGTCTTAAAACAATACACCAGGGCCTGTTTGTACATTGAAACACGTTTTGCTTGCTGTAATCATTCTGCCTGTTCATACTGGCCAGTCCAAGATCCCTTTCTAATGCGCTTCCAGTGTCACTGATGGGGGCAAAATCCAGTCTACATTTGTGCAAAAATACATTCCAAAGTGTATATGAACCTAATATGATGCTTCAACAGTCTGAGTTAGACAACAAAGCAAGTACATATGTTCCAACGTATCTACTGTCTTGTGACAAACATTTTGGTAGCACTTTATTGTACAGCTCAGTAATAACATGGTAATAGTGGGGGAATATAGGCTGGTATAGGCAATATGAAAAACATTTTCCAGAGCTAGAGATGTGGGGCCCCAACGTAGGCTGGTTTTCACGCACATGTGTGATGTATAAAAATTAACATGACGTGAGAATGTGAGGTGAATGTGGCACAGACTTTTTCCAAGATAACCTCAAACAGCATTGAAGAATTGCAAAACAGAGCGTCACTAGTTTTTAATAATATCCTCTGTGCTAGGGCTGACCCCCAATAGTCGAAGATTCGATGCTTCGATGGGCGGAGCCTGATTCAACTGTCAATCTCACAGTCAAAGCTTCGCAGTGAAACAAGGATCATGCCATTTTGGTGATATGGGGGTGCTCAACATCTGATTTTACATAGAATTACCAGTTTTCTCTCATGCAGCTGTTTGCAGCACCACAAAAATTCTGCACAAGCCCGGTGGATGGCAGGTGTGAGAGAGAGAGAGAGAGAGAAAAAAGGGTCTTCAAAAAGCCTCAGTTTAGCTGGACATTTACTGTGTAAGTTGAATGAATAGAGACTGCAGCTCTGCAGCTTCTCAAGATTGAAGCGGAGCTACTGTGTGTAACCCCCCCGCAATCGCTGCGCACAAAAACACACGATTCGACTATAGGTAGGACGATTCTGATTCGACTATGTAAATCCTTAGTTGGGGACAGCCCTACATCCATGCTTTCATGATGTTAAGGCCAAATTCTGACCCTACCATCTGAATGTTGCAGCTGAAATCGAATACCAGGAATTGTAGCATCAGTATCCTGTTCTTAGCTGACAGGAGAAGCACCCGGTGTGGTCTTCTGCTGCTGTAGCCCATCTGCTTCAATGTTCAATGTTGTGCGTTCGAGATGGTATTCTGCATACCTTGGTATGGTATTCTGCATACCTTGGTATGGTATTCTGCATACCTTGTAACGAGTGGTTATTTGAGTAACTGTTGCCTTTCTGTCATCTGGAACCAGTCTGCCCATTCTCCTCTGACCTCTGACATCAACAAGGCATTTTCTGCCGCTCACTGGATATTTTCTCTTTTTCGGACCATTCTCTGTAAACCCTAGAGATGGTTGTGCGTGAAAATCTCAGTAGATCAAAGTCACTTAAATCCCCTTTCTTCCCCATTCTGATGCTCAGTTTGAACTTCAGCAAGTTCTCTTGGCCACGTCTAAATGCCTTAATGCTTTGAGGTGCTGCCTTTGGCTGATTAGCCACATTACTGAGAACTGTTGGGCTTCTGTAAATAGCATCATAGAGTATGGTCTAGACCTGCTCTTTTATGATAACTGTTGTTGTGATTTGGCGCTATATAAATAAAATTGAATTTAATTGAATTTAATTGAATTAGCTATTTGTGTTAAGCAATTGAACAGGTGTACCTTATAAAGTAGCCGGTGAGTGTATATGCCATTACAGATATATCTCTGATAAACTAATATAATCTGATAATATCAAGTTTCAACTACACTCCTAGCAGCACATACAGGGGTTGGACAATGAAACTGAGAGGCCTCTCATTTCATGGCTAAATTGGACCAGCCTGGTGGCCAATCTCCATTAATTGCACATTGAACCAATAAGAGCAGACTGTGAAGGTCCAATTAGCTGGGTAAGAGCACAGTTTTGCTCAAAATATTGCAATGCACACAACATTATGGGTGACATACCAGAGTTCAAAAGAGGACAAATTGTTGGTGCACATCTTGCTGGCGCATCTGTGACCAAGACAGCAAGTCTTTGTGATGTATCAAGAGCCACGGTATCCAGGGTAATGTCAGCATACCACCAAGAAGGACGAACCACATCCAACAGGATTAACTGTGGATGCAAGAGGAAGCTGTCTGAAAGGGATGTTCGGGTGCTAACCCGGATCGTATCCAAAAAACATAAAACCACGGCTGCCCAAATCACGGCAGAATTAAATGTGCACCTCAACTCTCCTGTTTCCACCAAAACTGTCCGTCGGGAGCTCCACAGGGTCAATATACACGGCTGGGCTGCTATAGCCAAACCTTTGGTCACTCGTGCCAATGCCAAACGTCGGTTTCAATAGTGCAAGGAGCGCAAATCTTGGGATGTGGACAATGTGAAACATGTATTGTTCTCTGATGAGTCCGCCTTCACTGTTTTCCCCACATCCGGGAGAGTTACGGTGTGGAGAAACCCCAAAGAAGCGTACCACCCAGACTGTTGCATGCCCAGAGTGAAGCATGGGGGTGGATCAGTGATGGTTTGGGCTGCCATATCATGGCATTCCCTTGGCCCCATACTTGTGCTAGATGGGCGCGTCACTGCCAAGGACTACCGAACCATTCTGGAGGACCATGTGCATCCAATGGTTCAAACATTGTATCCTGAAGGAGGTGCCGTGTATCAGGATGACAATGCACCAATACACACAGCAAGACTGGTGAAAGATTGGTTTGATGAACATGAAAGTGAAGTTGAACATCTCCCATGGCCTGCACAGTCACCAGATCTAAATATTATTGAGCCACTTTGGGGTGTTTTGGAGGAGCGAGTCAGGAAACATTTTCCTCCACCAGCATCACGTCGTGACCTGGCCACTATCCTGCAAGAAGAATGGCTTAAAATCCCTCTGACCACTGTGCAGGACTTGTATATGTCATTCCCAAGACGAATTGACGCTGTATTGGCCGCAAAAGGAGGCCTTACACCATACTAATAAATTATTGTGGTCTAAAACCAGGTGTTTCAGTTTCATTGTCCAATCCCTGTATGAATCAACTGCTGATGGATGGGACCCACCCAGAATGGTTAAGCCAAGGATGGACAGTCCTGATCATGAAGGATCCCCAGAAGGGAACAATCCCATCCAACTACTACCTAATAACCTGCCTCTGCACAACATGGAAGCTTCTGTCAGGCATCATAGCAGCAAATATGAGTAGGCACATGGCTCAACAGGGTTTTTCCTGGCTCAGAATGGGACTTTGGGGGGTGACTTCTCACAACAGTAAGCATGATCAGTATGCGTACAGTAAAGGCAATGAGTTACCTTATGACCGAAATCTATACATTTTTGACCATTTGATAAACAAAATATATCCACAACCTGGAGGACTAAAGGTATAAAAGTAACATCTTAGTATAATAATGTATTTACAGGTTACACTTGATTTAGATTTTCTACCTAGATAGTTTATTAGTTGAGCTTTTTCACAAATAAAACCTTTCTCTGATATTAACCTACACCACTGTGGTTAAGGTTTGATTAGTGCTAATGTTTGTGTATTCATTATAATTTCAGATAATGGTATAGGCTACTATAGCTTACTATTAGTAGCCTAATATTAATTCCAGTTTGACAAAACAGCAGTTACATTTTGTGGGTTGTTTTCAGTCATTAAGTTACTATGCAAGAAAAATGCTCTACAGGGTGTTTAGTCTCTCATTTGTTTATGCAAAGTACTAACTTGTCAGTAATAAAAAACGTGCATACAGAACGAGTTCAACATTTCTAAAGTTTGATGTAGTGCCTCACCCTTTTTAATGTCCCGCCTACTCCAGGCTGTGATTGGTCAGCTCACGAAAAGTAACTTTGACGAACAGCTATATGCACACGGCTGCATGAACGACACCCGATCTCCCTTTGGAGATTAGCAGGCAGGAAAGAACGGTAACAGGTGAGCGTGACATTGTGCCCAGAGAACCTGATCTGGAGAGTCAGAGAAGAGGACCGGGGCCGGTACGCCAAAGAGTAAAATGTAAAAGTGACAGTACCGGCATAGGCGGAAATCACTGGGGGGGAAGGGGGGGTCAGGTCCCGCCTTAAAAACCATCAAATAATGATATATACTTAGAATCATTGTGTAAATAGTAACAACAACAGTAGCAATACAAACGCAAACGTGGCAAGTGTGTTGTACGTGTAGAAACATTTTGAGCCCCTCTCTTGCCTCACAGTGGTTTGGTCCACCGCCTGCTTTCTATCTCACAGGAGTCCGGTGGGAGAAAACCAGTTATATCCTTCAGTAGTTGTGGAGCTCCAGTAATGTTAAGCAGGCTGGCAGAGCTGTTTTATTCACTTTGAACGTTGGATGAACTGATTATTTTGTCTTTAATACAGATGATGCTGAGTCATTAATAAATTAATGGTGACAAAAAGTTATGATAACTGATTATTTTTCCATGAGCCCACTCTGTTATTATAACATTACCTAGAGTGTTTGGTAGCTTGTTTAATTTAATTTATTTTATTTAAAAGGGACAGCGTACAGTAAAACGCTTTGGATAAAAGCGTCTGCCAAATGAGTAAATGTAAATGTAAAACAAACGTTACCATTTGATGCACTGTACCAGCTTCAAGCTAATTCACATTTGCAGTCCCTTGGCAGGTCATGGTTAATAACAATACAATAATAAATACATTAATTAAGGCTGACTAGTTCATTTGAATGCCACCAAGATCACAACATCGGCAAACAGCATTCCAGTCATATCGCGGCGTCCACCAAAACAATCGCAACATGACCCCGAGCCACATTGCTCTGCTCCAGCACAAATCAACAGCACACAAAGTTACATAAACACACAAGGTTACACAGAAACAGTCACAAGACGTACAATGTGAACTACTCACAATGAAACATAACAAACATTTACCAATCAATTAAATTAAAAGCAGGTCAAAAATCTCCAATAAAATGTCTGGATCAGTGATTGCAAAGCTGAGTAGCTTTTAACTGCCATTTCAACTTTGATTTAAACATACTGATGGAGTTTTACAGAAAAAGCAGACTGGCCAAATGCAGTACAACGGAATGGTATGACAGTCTTGAGTAGAGGAGATTCTGAAGGACCTAATTGATACTGAATGAGTAAACACAAAATCACAAAGTGGGAGGAGCCAAGCCATTTAAAGTTTTATATACTAAACACAAATTAGAAAATATAAAAATTATCAAAACTAAACAAATTATATTTCTGAAGTATTCTGCAATGATGATAGTGAAAAAAAAACAATAAAACACACACCAGCTGACATGCAGTACATATAATGACCAGCAGACACGTTAACCCAGTGCAAGAGGAGCTGTGATTGGTCGGTTCACGACAAGTGACATTGATGAGCTACATTCAGCACACAGCTGCAGGCACCCGAGCTTCTCTTCTCCCTTGTCTCTCTCCGCCAACAGAGTTTAGCAGGTAGGTGAGAACGGGAACAGGTGAACGTCACATAGCCCCCAGAGAACCTGATATGGAAAAGGCAGAGGATAGGACTGGCAGCTTGGGAGAAGTCCCGGTACGCAAGAAAATGTCCCGGTATGCCAAAGAGTAAAATGTCGAGGTGCCCGTACTGACTACCTGGGTCTCCCCCTAAAGTTACATGGGGCCACCTGCTACGCTGCGGCCAGACGCCGCCCTGACCCTGGGCTCTCTTGACAGACACGCAGCGTGCCAGCTCTTCATGCGGAGGACAAAAGCATAACACACCCGCAGCTCATCAACAGGTGCCTATTGGCTAATCACCACGCACACCGCTGAACTGCAAGTCCGGCCAGAACTGCCCTGCAACGTCAGTTCCCTTAGCTTCATATCCACTCGAAATGTAGGCTTATTAGGTCCTATAAAATAAATAAATAAATAAAGGAAAACTAAGGATATTTACTCTTTCATTTTAGTTAGATTTGCAAACCTACAATACAGTTTTAGTTAGTTATTGTTTTTTTGTAAAGCCTCGTTTTTTGTTTTTGTTTTTCAGTTCGTTTGTAGTATAACCTTGGTGCAGAGCAGCTGGCGGGAGTGTTCCGGCATCTTTTTGACCTCTCGCTGAGGTTGAAGAAGGTGCCGAAGATCTAGAAGACATCCTGTATTGGCCCTGTCCCCAAAAAGGGACGTTCCAGCGTCCTCTCCAACTAACTAACACACATGTAATGTTCTTCGACTTCTCCAGTGCTTTTGACACCATCCAGCCTCCGGCTGGCTGAGAAACTCTCCGTGATGCAGGTGGATCAGGACCTGGTGGCCTGGATCATAGACCTGACATACTGCGGCCTGTCAGTAAGGTAGTCTATGATTACGTTAATCGACTAGGCTACCACAAGTTAGGCAAGTAAACAAACACTCCTTCATCTTTTCATAACTAACGACAGTCAGAGTTAATAGGTCATAGCTAAAGCAAGAAGCAAGCTAACATTAGATGGCCAATGCTGAGCTAAACATGTTGACTAACCTCAGGTTACTAACCTACGTTCAGTCAGCGCTTCTTTGTTTGGGCCTTGTTGTAAGTTTTATAGCCAAAGTTTATGATGAATGGCACAGCAGCTGCCGGTGTTTGTTGTCCTCTCGCACAGGTGGCCACGCGCAGCTGATGCTACGTATTATGTAGGTAGATTATAGGTAACGCATGGAGGGGAATAACAGCAAGCTCATCAGACGTACAGACTAACGGAAACCATGAAGAGGTAGAAAGGAAGTCCGCTACAGCCAAATACCTTTACAGAGTAAGGCAGGTCCTGAAAGGTCATCTGAATTGGAAGAACAAGATACACATACGCCCTGCCGGTCATCAGAGACCCCACTGGTAAAATGAACTGGCCAAAGGAGGAGATAGAGGCCACTGACATCAAGACAAGAAAGCTCCTTACAATGAAGGGAGGGTTTCACCCCAAATCCAGCACCCTGAGACTGTACGCTAAGTGGAGCGAGGGAGGCTTTTAACCTGATGGTATGATAAACATAAATCCAGTCAAGAGCTCGGAGGAAAGGCAGATGCAAATGATTCTGGTGAATTTATTTTTCAGTTTAGTTTTTATCTTTTTAATTAAACTTCCAAGCAGCATTTTTATTATATATATAATAAGAAGCTACTATTTTAAAGTGTTTATCTTAATAGAGGAGCTTTACACACAACCTTATCCGAGCTAATAATAATATTAGTACATTTTAGCACACCATTGTCAATTTTAATCTTATAAAACGTAATTTCCCAAAAACAAAAATTTGGCTAGAGAAAATGCTGTGTGGCTAGTAACTGCAAAAAAGTTAATGTCAAGCCCTGATTGTGGCACAAGAACGGGCACTCATTACAAGATCAATAGAGGCTGAGGTCTACTACACCAGGCAGGACCCCAGGTGCAGTTCACTAACAAAGACCACGCCGATGTGAGGTATAAAAAAGGTTGTTTATTCGATGATGATGATTCGATGATAATGAAGAGTATTTATTATGGAGGGGTCGAGGGGAGAGGGATGAAGTGGTCGAGAACGGAGGGATGAAGGGGGTTGTTTATGGTTTCGGCTAGAAACCGGGGGGTTGAGACTCAGGGTGGGGGCTCGTTTCGAACACTGAATAATTGTAAATAATTGTACAAATTTTCAAATTATTATTATTTTGATTGTTTGATATTTTAGTAATTGTTTTTTTTTACATTTGATACAGATTTTTATTTATTATTATTATCTTTTTTTTTTAATCAATTAATTAAATAAATTTTTTTGTCTATTAATTCACACACACACACACACACACACACAGGTTTACGGTATTATCTATTTATTTTATTTTAATTTTTAATATATTATAATAACACACACATTACTGTTTTATTTATTTATTTTATTTTAATTTTTTATATATTTAAATTTTTTATATATAGATAGAGAGGTGTGGTCCTGAACTTTAGTTATATAACTTAATTTCACTAACAAAGACCCCGCCAATGTGAGGTATAAAAAGGGTAGTTTATTCAGATGCTGAAGAGTATTTACGATGAAGGGGTCAATAGGAGAGGGATGGAGGGGTCGAGTGTAGAGGGATGAAGGGGGTTGTTTATGGTTCGGAGGCCAGAGCGGCAAGGAACCTGGGGGTCGAGACTAAGGGTGGGGGCAAGTGACCGGAATATGATTCCGGAGAAATTCTGGATTTGGATTGGAGTTGGCAGAGATGATGATGGAACCAGAGGCGTGTGGTGACTCTGCCTGATTCCATGATGAATAATGGGTCTTGCAAAGAAGCGTGTTGGTGTAGTCTGTGGTTTACGTAGGTCTTGTTGGGTTCGAAAGGGCTCAAGTAAGAGGAAAATAGGGTGAGAGAGGCCGAGTTGGTCTGTTTTGCTTCGTTTGAGGTTGAATCTGAGGGTGTCTGAGGAGTGGACATAAATGTCGGAGAGGCTTGCCTGCTGGGTAGGATAATAGAAGTACATACAATACAAATACAAGCGAGGAGGTCTGATGTCAGGGGTAATCGTTTCGGAGCGAGCTGAGGTTCTGTTTTTTGAAGGCCTTTCATTAGCATGTGGACATCGGGGTGAGAGATGGAAGGAGTGGGTGCTCCAGAAAGGAATTTGACAAAGACGTTTATCCCGCTAAGATATACATGGATCATGGATGTTCTGATTTTGAGGACAGAGTGGGCTTAGGTGATGAAGCTGGTTACGGATATGATGTTGACGGAAGAGAATGGCAGGACAAAAGAGGTATGGATAGTTCAGAATGTTCACCACCCTGAATCATATGATGAATGGATCTTGGGAGAGTTTACATAAGTTTCCAGCATTATGTGTAATGCTGTCTCTTGTTATGTCTGTTTTGGCAGATGCAGAGTCCTTGCCCATGTGATTCAGCATGCACATGAGCACACGCTTGAAAACGTGGTGGCTGAAATCTGAAACCTCACCACTAGATGCCACTGAAAACTACACATGGATCTCTTAAGTTATATTCTATTATTCATTATTAAATAATAGTAGTAATAATTATTATAATTAAATTATCTAATATACTATAGATGCCATTTAACCCTAATCCAAAATTTTTTAATCGATCCCCATCAAATCCTCATGTTCCATCTAAAACCACACTCCTTGCATGTACACATGGCACCACACAAAAATCGCCCAAATGGTTAGTTTACAGACATGAGTAACTTCCCTCATGTATTGGTTATGACCATGAGATGTTATGAGCTGACATACCCATACAGTACTTTACCAGAGCATTGGCAAAAATGTTCATTTCTCTGACAAATTCATTTTTAAAAGATAAAATTGCTTACATGTGAGAAATGATATCCGACATGAGGGAGCATCTTTGGTACATTTGTTGTGGCACTTTAACCTGTGAACAGATAAATATGACATACCCTAATAAGACCATAACAAGTATTTATAGTACAGGTGATGCTGAGACAGCAATTTCAGATTTCAAAGCTAAATGCCCTCTCAATAAAATACTATATATATATGTGTGTGTTTGTATGTATGTATATATATGTATGTATATATATATATACTGTGTGTATATATATATATATATATATACACACAGTGGGGCCAAAAAGTATTTAGTCAGCCACTGATTGTGCAAGTTCTCCTACTTAGAAAGATGAGAGAGGTCTGTCATTTTCATCATAGGTACACTTCAACTATGAGAGACAAAATGAGAAAGAAAATCCAGGAAATCACATTGTGGGATATTTAAAGAATTTATTTGTAAATTGTGGTGGAAAATAAGTATTTGGTCACCCACAAACAAGCAAGATTTCTGGCTCTCACAGACCTGTAGGCTCTTCTTTAAGAAGCTCTTCTGTCCATGTTATCTGTATAAAAGACACCTGTCCACAGCCTCAAACAGTCAGACTCCAAACTCAACCATGACCAAGACCAGAGAGCTGTGTAAGGACACCAGGAAGAAAATTGTAGACCTCCACCAGGCTGGGAAGAGTCAATCTACAATAGGCAAGCAGGTTGGTGTGAATAAATCAACTGTGGGAGCAATTGTAAGAAAATAGAAGACATACAAGACCATTGATAATCTCCCTCGATCTGGGGCTCCATGCAAGATCTCATCCCGTGGGGTCAAAATGATCATGAGAACGGTGAGCAAAAATCCCAGAACTACACGGAGGGACATGATGAATGACCTGCAGAGAGCTGGGACCAAAGTAACAAAGGCTACCATCAGTAATGCACTACGCCAAGAGGGACGCCACGCGTGTCCCCCTGCTTAAGCCAGTACACGTCCAGGCCCGTCTGAAGTTTGCCAGAGAGCAGATGGATGATCCAGAAGAGGACTGGGAGAATATCATGTGGTCAGATGAAACCAAAATAGAACTTTTTGGTAAAAACTCAACTCGTCGTGTTTGGAGGAAGAAGACTGCAGAGTTGCATCCCAAGAACACCATACCTACTGTGAAGCATGGGGGAGGAAACCTCATGCTTTGGGGCTGTTTTTCTGCAAAGGTGACAGGGAAACTGTTCCCCCAAACACACCGCTCGGGCAACGAAGGAGTGGCTCCGTAAAAAAGCATTAAGGTCCTGGAGTGGCCTAGCCAGTCTCCAGACCTCAACTCCATAGAAAATTTGTGGAGGGAGTTGAAAGTCCATGTTGCCCAGCGACAGCCCCAAAACATCGTTGCTCTAGAGGAGATCTGCAGGGAGGAATGGGCCAGAAAATACCAGCTACAGTGTGCAAACCTGCTGAAGACTTACAGGAAACGTTTGACCTCTGTCAAGTATTGAGTTGAACTTTCATTACTGACCAAATACTACTATTCCACCATAATTTATAAATAAATTCTTTAAAAATCCTGGATTGTGTATTTATTATTCTCATTTTGTCTATCATAGTTGAAGTGTACCTATGATGAAAATTACAGACCTCATCTTTCTAAGTAGGAGAACTTGCACAATCAGTGGCTGACTAAATACTTTTTGGCCCCCGTGTGTGTATGGAGATGGATAGATATGGGGACAGAGGGAGGTTTTTTACATTCTCTTACTTGCAGTGTTTGCACTTGACACCGAACATCATGCTCTTGCGACACACTTGGCAAGTCTGGGAGAGCCAAGACTTGGTTGAAAATCTGCAAAAGACAAGGAAAAACATTTCTTCATCATAATGGCACTATTGTCTATCATTTGTTTCAGATTAAAATGGGTAACTTTTATAAAAACATTTTTTTCATGTTTGCTAAAACTGTCACTATATCCTGACAGCAGTACATGAGACAGAAAATCTGTGAAATAAAATGATCAAGAATCCAACGCGTCCATGGTATAACAACCAATCAGAGCATTCAAAAACATCCCCCCCCCACCTTCATTCTCAAGCAGGTCCTGTCCTTTCTCGGTGGTGTCTACTTCTGTGATGTTTGAGAGCCCACCCCCCTGTCCGGCCCAGTGACAAATATATACATGTACATAATTAAATAATAAAGACGACAAAGAACTAAATTAAAACTCCTTTGTTAAAGCAATATCTGACTGGCACAACATGGTATCCAGCTCCTCGTTCTGTATATATCTGGGGTTAAAAAATATAAATAAATTAATAAAGATATGTTAACTCTCCCCAACAATTTATAAAATGTCAGGCAGGAAGAAAGATCAATACATCAGTTCAAGTGTTACCATTCACACACAGCCCACACTAATGTGGGGCACATCAACCACAGTTTCCACAGCATAATGTATACTGTCACTTTTTCCTAAATAAATTGTTATTCTAAGCCAGGCAGGAGGTCCGTCTATAGGGGGATGGAGGGGCAACTCACCTGTGTGTTACAGCCAGGCCAATGTCTCTTCTCACTGTCTGAGGGGAGCTCTTGTGCATGGTCACATCTGTGAAGAACATGAGAATATATTATGTCAAAAACACAAAAGAGACAATGGGGAAATTAAACAATACCAAAAGCACCAAAGGACAATGACAGCAAAAATCCAGGCTCCATTAACTGTTATAGGGACTCACTGTCCTGCAAGGTCTGGGTGGCAATCATCATATATGGGGCTGAGGCTGGAACAGGGCCTGGGGTTCGGGCAGACAGCAATGGTGACCGCAGCGCTGAGTCATCAAGACTGTTCCCACAACCATTGATATGAATAGCAGCCAACCCTTTGTTCTTCTTACAGGGCCTGCAAGGACAGAGAGCAACTAACAACTACTGTAACAGGAGCCCATTTCATCCTGTGATGCACAGAACAAACTGCTGAAAAAATAACATTGGTCACTGGTAGCAGGTAAACCATAGTGTAAGACTTAGGGATAATAAATAAATCGTTTTCAATGGCCTTGTTTTATTTGTACATTTTTAAGTACCAAATTACAAAAGAAAGTCAGAGCCCTCAGGAGCGGGACCACACATCAACCAGCAGAATCCTAGTTGTTGTTGGTTCTTCAGAACTCCCTCAAAGTGCAGAGCCTTTTCTGCCAAATCACCATTTGCTGTAAATCTTCGGGTCCTTCAAGTAAGAATCTCCGACTGAGTTAGTTAATTCAGTCAGAGATAAAGAGAAATTCCATTCTCTGAAGATCACAAATAACAGCAAAACTGTAATTGTTGGGTGACGTTTTCCCATTCAATGCATTTGTTGATTCACAGTCATATTCCATTATTTTGAGTGTTATGACAAGAAGGGGGTGGTGATGGCGCATGGATAAGATGCTTGCCTTTGGTGTGGAAGACTGTGAGACATCCACCATTGTGTCCCTGAGCAAGACACTTAACCCCTAGTTGCTCCAGAGGCGTGTGACCTTTGACATGTATAGCAATTGTAAGTCGCTTTGCATAAAAGCGTCAGCTAAATGAATAAATGTAAATGTATGACACATACATGGCTGTAGGGCTGGCAATATCAACATACAATGACTTACTTCTCAACTGTTTTTATTTCGGTTGATATTTAGCAGGTGAAACGTGAGGCATATTTTCAAACAGGAGACTCTGATCTACCACCTTTAAAGACATAACTGCAGTATTATCTTGAATACCAACTTGTGTGTAGCAGGCTCCTCTATGCGGTTGGCCAGCTGTGATTCATGACTCTTGCTTCTTGTCATTGTAATGTTGGGAAAGAACTGCAGCAGTTTGCGGGAAGGCGGTGGTGGTGTGTAGGAGGGCTTAGCAGTGCGTGTCTTTGAGGTTCGGGTGGCTGGAGGGGGGCCTGGATCCAGGACGAAGGCATCAGTCATTTCCTCAGGTGATATGTAAGGTCTCTGGTCATCTGAACAAGGTAACACTGATATGGAGATGGAGCGGCCATGGGCACTGGTAGGCTGTAGGGGGGTGGAAGGGCTAATAGGAGAGAAGGTGTCACTGTCCTGTTGGGGCTCAGAGTTGCAGGAGCCTGATTCAGGCCTCGGGTCACCTCCTTAAGTCAAAGAGGAAAGATCACAAATGAGCAAGAAGAGTACAAACTGACACACATTTAAGAAAGATGTTTCGGATGGTTCTTGTGAAATTTATTAAGTATGTATAAATTTAAAATGTACCTGCTAAATGAACTGTACTTGTATAGCACCTTTCTAGTCTTCTGACCACTCAAGTACTTACATGTCACAATCACCCCATTCATACACTGATGGTAGAGGCTGCCATGCAAGGTGCTAACTGCATATCAGAAACTAATCATTCACACACACAGATGGCACAGCAATCAATGTGATTCAGCATCTTTTTAGTGGACGACCCACTCTACCGCAGCCACACTGATACTCTACTGCTACTGTTAAGTAACTACTTTATAAATGTGTTTAGACGCGTTTTAAAATCCGTGTAGTACACACTATAGTATAATGTGTGTAGAACACTAGAGAGTCAGTGTGCATGGAAACATAAAATCATGATTGGAATAATAATCATCATCATCATCATCATCCCTGAGTTTATGAACTTTTCTAAACAGAGTTAGAAAGTGGTAAACTGAAAACCAAAGTAAATGCTGAAAAAAGACAACAAATTTACACTATTATACAAGCTGTCCACTCACTACTTTACATTGTAGCATAGTGTCATTTCTTCAGTGTTGTAACATGAAAAGATATAATCAAATATTTACAAAGATGTGAGGGGTGTACTCAATTCTATAATATACTGTATATAAGCTTAAGAAGGCCAAATTCCCACATCAAGTTCTTGTCAGCTTTTACAGAGGAGCAACAGAAAGCATCCTGACTGGAAACATCAGAAACTGGCATGGGATATGCACGGCCCAGGACCGGAGGGCTCTGCAGCGGGTGATTAAACTGCTCAGAAGATCATTGGTACCCATCTCCTGCATCAGTGATATCGGTGAGGTGAGGTGTCTGCAGAGCCCAAAGGATACTAAAGGACAGTACCCAGCCAGCCACAGCCTGTTCACCCTGCTGCATTCTAGGAAGAGATATAGAAGTTTCTGCTGCCACACCACCAGACTGCAGAGCAGCTTTTTCCCCCAAGCTATCAGAGCCTTAAACTCTAATTCATCCTCAGCACTGCTCCAGTGATGGTAAATATCTGTTTACCATTTTTTACAATTGATTCTGTATTACTGTATATTGTCTGCTATGTAGCAGAAGGGAGTTACAAAACTTGTTATATTGTGACTATAAACCTACCTACCTATATATATTATATATATAGATTCATATCACACATACTACATTTACACATCACACACACTTCACCAGCAAAACTATTATATCCAAGGTAAAGAATTAGCTGTAAAGGATAGGTGAACATTTTAGCAAGTCTTAAAACATTACTGACATTGAAAAAGTTTTTACTCAATCCTCCTCTCCAAACCAGGGGTGTTTCTAGGCTCGTGAAAATTGGGGGCTTAGCCCAGCATATAAATCTTTCATGTTTTAACAGTTTTAGGTGGCAGATGACAATTCAAAATATAATCAGTAGCTTATTATTATTTTTTAGCTTATGGCAAATTATTATTTTTTTGGCCCACAACAGAACAGCTCCAGCAGAGGGGGAGGGAGTGGGTGCTGTAAGAGATGTGATTGGGCCAGCCCAATGTCAGTATAGGCCTGATGCTTTATGGGCCAGTAGTTAGCCCATTTTTTAAAAACAGTTTGGCCAATTTAAATAAATAATTTGACTTGTAGCCTACTCGATGAGACAAGCGCACTGCTCTTCATCAGAGGAAGAAAACCGAAACTGAAAACACTTCAATTCATCAAACAGAAATATCACCACAATTCCACACAAATTTCACTTCAGCTCCTCTGATAAAGTGCAGCTCACAGCCGCATTAGAGGGAATGAAGCATCCTGGAGCAGAGAGACAGTCAAACAGAGCAAAGTGTCACTGAGCAGGACACAGAGAACAGGTGTCAATGTCACGGTCAGGTGTGTCATGATATTCTCTCACTACTTTGCGGCGACTGTTAACTGTTTAAATACACTGATACTAGACACTCACTGACAACATTTATAGTTAAATGTATTGATTACAATTTTGCTGGGGACAATTCAGAAGTCGCGGATAAGCCCTGAAGCTGTGAGCAATGCGCGCTCTCTCCTCTCGTGCTCCCTCTAAATGCAGGCAGGCTGAGTAACGGTGGGGGGTCACGTGAACTTTAAACAAAATGTAGCAATATTATTGCGAGTAGCCTCCGCTCTTTGAAGACCTGCGAGACAGGCTGCATCATGAAGATTATTACATATTAACATGGTAAATATTTTTGTTGCTGTTATTGAGTTACATTCGGGACTTCAGTCAAAACATTCAGGGCTAAAGCCCCGGGAAAATTACCTGCCGACGCTGTTGCTCCAAACCGCTATGTTATACAGCCTTTGGCATTTTACTTATCATAGAAGGAAAAGCAGCATCTACTGAGATTAACAATGGCGCTCTATTGGATTTTATGCTATAAATGACCCCTCTCAACATGGAGGGCAGCCATTGTTCCTGGTTCACCTGTTTCATTAGCACTCTTCAGACAGGACAGGGCAGAAGTGAGGTCAGAACGATCTTCTGAGTTGGAACCCAAGCGTCTCATTGTTCCCTGCAGCTCAGAGCTGGACATTTGTAGCAAGCCGTCCACTGAGAGCTTTCTTGCTGTAGCCTGCAGGAGATAAGGAGGACGTGTTTGTCAATGACTACTTTAAGGACAAGACAAAGATAAAACAAGCAAATTTGTTATGATAATGATCAGCAGTCTGTCTGGGATCCTGTGTGTTCATTCCTAAGTTTTTGTACTTCTCTCCTTTGTCTATGACAAGAAATGTCTCCTACACAGTCCTTGTCCCTGCACCTGCAAATCTTTTCTGACCTGCTGAGGTACAAACAGTGAACAACTATAAGATGTGTGGCAGAGTCTTAACATCATGAGGACATATTTCCACTTACAGGAAATGGCATTTGCAAAAAATATTAGATTTTCACCAAGACTGCCAAGACACATTTAGTTATGTCTGCTTTCTGCTACACTCTCAACAATCATCATTCGAGTGGAATCGTCTCTGATCAACAAAAACAAAGCATTAGGAGTATTTCAAATGAGATGCAAAAATGTCTACAGAAAAAGAAAAGTGGTCAGCCGTCATGGAGAGGACACACTCAATAACCAGACAAGAAGCAGAACTGCTGTAATAAGTAATAAATGTCAGTTTACATACAGTATGTATCGTATGCATTCCATGCATCTAACACACTCTTAGGGCCCTATTTAAACGATCTACAGAGCATGGTTTAAAGTGCATGCCGCACAATAAGGAGCAAAGTGCAAATCGGTTGTATTTAGTCTCATAAGAAATCATAGTTGTGTTTCAGCCATAACATTAAACCAGTGTCATCTCCCATTCCCTTTACAAACCAGCTGTGCCTGCACCTGTTGCATTGCTATATAAATGGCAGATGAATGGAATGTAAACCATCAATTGATCCACCCACCCGCATGGACATTTCTCTCCACCTCTACCAGTCCCTGTAACTTTCCAGGGGATTTCTTTACTGTGTGCAGTACTGATGTACGGGTGTTTCCTTTAAAGACTTACTTTGATGATTAGAGAGGCTGCTGTCAGTCATTTAAAACATTTCCATGCGCACAGCAATGTCACAGCAAATATCAAGTAACATTAAGAAAACTATAGTTACAAACATGACAGGTCAGAAATAAAATGTTTAGATATTAATTCATGTTTAGATGCTCTGAAGGAGCTCAGGACTGATCAGGAGGACGGCTGCTTTACTCCAAACAGTTTCACTGTATGAACCTGGACTGTGTGTGAGACCTTCTGGATGTGCAGAAGAACACAGAACATTAATTGACATTAGATCCTGACTGATCCTGTCAGCCTGTCAGGACATTTAAGTAATCAATGACAGTAAAACTACTTATGCAGGACCATCTTCCTATCTGTATAATGTGCCACTGACTTTAGACCAGGTTTTTGTTGCTCAATTGCTTTCATCCTGTCTCATGATAGCAATGTGCCAACAACGCACATGACCACACCTCATTTTAAGACCAACACTCCAATGGCACATCTATGGGAACAAGTAGCCTACATTTGCTAATTACACAACGTAAAATGACAACAGCGTCGGTAGGAAACTAGCAATGACACTTGCGCTTACTATTTGGTGCTATATAAATAAAACTGAATTAAACGCACACACAAAACAAGCCACACTCACTCAGTACACTCTTGGTAACATTAGCATTTATTTGGACCTCAAGTTTGTGTTCTAAATTCACTCTCCAATTAGCTTCAGAAAAATATTTGACTCTTAACATGCTCAATACTTTAAACAGCAAGACAGTACTACAGCTCCATTTGTTGAGTCACTGCCATGATGTAAGGCAGCTTTTATCAGGGTCAAAGGTGCTCTGACACTACGCTGAACTGTGACTTGTATTTTTCTCATCAGTATGTGTGGTTTGTAATTTCTGACTAGAAAAGGATAATGTTTGATACTGTGTTTGTGTTTGTGTGTCTAAATTAAAAATAAATTAAACATTAAAAAAATAAAATATATAAAAATTAAAATAAAACAGTAAATGTTTGTGTGTGTTTAAATAAAATACATTTACAAAAACAGAATAAATAAAATAAATAAATAAAATAAAATAAACACTAAGCGTGTGCGTGTGTGTGTGTGCGCGCGCGCATGCACGCCATAGATCAGTAGTATGTAGAAGTAATTTTATGTAATATAGTAATAAACAAAACAATCAGTAACAAAGAAATGTGTATGTACCAAAAAACAAACAAACAAACAAATAAATCCAAGAAGTATTTATGGTTCATGGGCTCCAAGAAACAATTACTAAAAATAACAAACAATGAAAATAATAATAATTTGAAAAATTTACAGTACAATTATTTAATTTATTTATAAGTCTACTCTGAGTTTCCACTGGTTGAGCCATGAGGGGATTATTTTGCTGCGATGATTTGGCATTCTGGCATTTCTCCCAGTAAATAGTTTCTGTGTGTCTGATATGAATTCAAATTCAGGGTATATTTGGGAAATGTTTGCAAAGTGTTTTTCTCTTAATGTTTTATATTTATGGCACGAGGTTAGAAAGTGCAGCTCTGTCTCCACCTGTCCTCTGTCACACTGGGAGCAGAGTCTCTCCTCTTGTGGTAGCCAGCTCTGTCTGTGGGAATCCTTTCCTATGGCCATGTTGTGTTCACTCAGTCTGTATGTTGTTAACATTTTTCTTAGTTTAGGAAATTTTATTGTGCTCAGGTAATTTGCCAGTGTGAATTCTCTTTTTAGGTCCAGATAACTTTTTGTATTTTTAGTAAGGGGGATATTGGCTGACTTCTGCTCTGCACAGATTATTTTTAACTTTTCTCTGCACCAGCGGGATGCTCTTGTTGTTTTGTCCCATTTGTCAAATTCGTTATTTAGTTTTGGTCTGCAAATTTTGCCTCCATATAGAATTATTGGTTGTAGTACAAACTGGAATCTTTTTGCCAGATTTCAATTGGAATATAGATTTTGATGTTTCTTTTTATTGCATAGAAAGCTCTCCTTGCTTTGTCCCTCAGATCTTTCACAGCCATGTTGAAGTTTGCTGTGTATGTAATGTTGAGGCCAAGGGAAGTGTAGTTTTTTGTATGTTGTAATCTACTGGTGTACTGGTGGAGAAATTGTGTGCGTCAGTTTCACAGAGCTGGTTCTTGCTGTGTTGTTCTTTCTTAGTTTTTAGGGTATACTTGTATTGTTTCAGAGTGGCCTCATAATGACAGCGTATGCTGTGGTTATCTGGGGCCCTGTGCTTTTCATTTGATAATTTCCTTAAACTATTACTCAGGTTTTTGCATTCAGTGTCAAACCATTTCTTATTGTTTATTGTTATTTTGGTTTGGAGGCTTTTAAATTAGACAATAAAGCCAAATGATGAAAAATTTTATTAATTTTGTCCACAGCAGAATTATTATGGGGAAATGTTTCAGTTAGAAATAAATTAGTTAAATCATGTGTTTTGTATATTTTCCAGTGCATTTTGGTATGTCTCTCTCTCTCTCTCTCTCTCTCTCTCTCTCTCTCTCTCATATTACAAAGAGTATGGTCTAGACCTGCTCTATAGGAAAAGTGCAATGACATAACTTCCAGTGTTTCCCCTAGGATATTTTCTCAACCCCCCAAAACTACCATTGTTCGCTGAGCAGTCATGTTACGGACTGACACTGGCACTGTATAATGAAAAATACTATATATTCAAATGCACGTACAATTATTTATAGGGACATTTCACAATAAAAAAGCCTGCATGGAGGGATCCATGTAGGCGTTTTGGTGTTTGACAGGTGAGGTCAAGGGGTCCTCAGGGGTAGGTCATCCCACCTACTGATTAATCAGTAGGTGGGCTGATTAATCAGTGACAATCCGAGTCAGACAAACACACTGAGCCATGACACTTGTTGTTGGTGCAGCTATGCAGCTACCAGAAATACGGTGTTTCTGTTGTTGCTTTACGTCATTAAACCACGGTTATGCTGCGTGGTCATGCGCAGTAGACGCTGGTGCCAACAGGAAGTAGCCCTGTAGTAGTATTTTATTGGTCCAAAACTGGCTTCACTGCTCTCCATTCAAATCAGCGGGGTGGCTTCGTCCAGTAATATACTGTCTATGGGTTGGGGTCAGGACTCTGACATACGTCGTTGTGCTGACTCATTTCCATTTCCGGTGCTTGTGTGTTGGTAGCGTGTTGTGCTGCTCTCGCTAAATACCAGTTAAATTTGTTAGATTTGTTGTTACAGCAGCCAACTGTCCGCTAAACACTTATTCTTACAGTAATTCTGCCTTAGCATTCACAGTTCTTTCCATCTTTTAGTGACTGCTGTTTAATCTTATAATTGTTTTCAAAAGTTTTGGTAGCTGACGCTACCATACTTTAGCTTAGCCGTTAGAGACTTTATCTTAGCAGCTAGTGATGGCTTCTCCTTCTTCCTCTCACTCTCCTAGTTTCTCCTGCTCAGTGTATCAGATTTTCAGTTACTCCTCTGCCTCCTTTAGCGGTAATGGTACGTGTAACAAGTGTAGTTTATTTGTAGACATGGAGGCGAGGCTCAGTGATTTAGAAGTCCGGCTCTGCACCTTGGTAGATCAGTCTTCTGGCCTGAGTTAGCCTGTGGTAGCTGTCCCCCGGCATCTCCTGAGCAGCCAGGAAGGGGTGGCTGGGTGACTGTCCGAAGGAGGAATAGTGGTAAGCTTTCAAAGCCCATGGGTCACCACCAACCTGTCCCACTCAGCGACACACCTGCTGAGCAACCAACTCTGATCATTGGCAGCTCCATTTTGAGAAACGTGAAGTTAGCAAAGCCAGCGGCCACAGTTAAGAGCATCCCTGGGGCCAGAGCGGGCAACACTGAGTCTTATTTGAAACTGCTGGCTAAGGATAAACGTAAATACAGTAAGATTATTATTCACGTCGGCGGTAATGACTCCCGGTTACGCCAATCGGAGGTCACTAAGATTAATGTTGAGTCGGTGTGTACATATGCAAAAACAATGTCGGACATCAAAGTTTTCTCTGGACCCCTGCCAAATCTGACCAGTGGTGACATGTATAGCCGCATGTCGTCATTCCGCCGCTGGTTGTCGAGG